CTATAAAATTTTTTTAAAGACTTCTTTTTTTTGATATTAAACTAGTTACTGACTACTGTATCCAGAAGTTCAAATGCCCTGTTAAAACCCCTGTTACGAAAACCTCTGTTAAAAGAAAAGGTTACATTCCAAGAGCACTTGGTTGAACATCTGTGTTCCACCAGCAGAGTTTGTAGAAGGTAGAGGATACGACCCAAGGTGTGCCGCTTAATAGCACTAGGTCTTACTTTCTGCCACTGAAAGACCTTGTTTTTCGGGTCTTTCTGACCCGAAAGAAAGACCTTTGAATCTAATATATAATCATATGAATCTAATATGTTCACAGGCCTGGTTGCCCTTTCCAGAAGCAATATGTATCTGGAAGAGCATACTGCCCCCAGAATCTTGTCACCTCTGTCACCAACCCATGGAACTTCATTTCAGCTCTTCAATTCTTTTTTTTTTTTTGGTGAGGAGGACTAGCCCTGAGCTAACATCCGATGCCAATCCTCCCCTTTTTTCTTGAGGAACATTGGCCCTGGGCTAGCATCCGTGCCCATCTTCCTCTACTTTATATGGGACGCCGCCACAGCATGGCTTAACAAGTGGTGCGTCCCTGCGCGCCCGGGATCCAAACCTGCCACCCCCAGGCTGCTGCAGCAGAGCGCACGCACTTAACCGCTGTGCCACCGGGCGGCCCCGCTTCAATTCTTTTTAAGCCTAAAGGTGAGTATCTCCATAAACTACTATTTTGAGGGAAATTCCTAGATAATTCAAGGAGCTCAGTGAATTGCTCTTTCTAGGACTAGGAGGCTTACTCCTGTGAAGTAGGGGGAGAGAAGGGCAGAGAAAAGAGAGAAGAATTGACAAGATGGAAAGCAGCTGAGACTGCGGGTGGGCATGGAAGGGAAAGACCAGGGGAATAGTTTCTGGGGTGCTGGATGTCTAAGAATGGCAGTGCCTGCCATTGCACTTGAAGGTCTTTGTACTGCTGTGATGGAAAACCCTTGGTTTAGCCTCAGCGTACTCACCTCCTCAATGCCTCACTGAAGTGGGTTTTTTGGTTTCATTTTGTTTTTATTAACAAATGTAGGGGCCAGATTTCATGGTTGAGTGACTGACTGTAGGGACAGGGACAGTACACATGGAAGAAGTCTGGAGACCAGTGTGGCCCTGAACACATAAGCCCTCCTGGGAATTCATGCTACCTTAGGGGAAGGCTCTAGACCATGATCAGCCCACAGTTAAGGAGTGAAGAGTTGGGGCTGGCCTGGTGGTGCAGCAGTTAAGTGCACGTGCTCTGCTTCAGAGTACCAGGGTTCGCAGATTTAGATCCTGGGTGCGCACTGATGCACCGCTTGGCAAGCCATGCTGTGGCAGCGTCCCATATAAAGCAGAGGAAGATGGGCATGGATGTTAGCCCAGGGCCAATCGCCCTCACCAAAAAAAAAAAAAAAAATTTTTTTTAACATGATCAGCAAATTCTAGTCATTCCACTTCTCCCTTCTCAACCCTCCCTCCCATGGTTTTCTCCCTCTTTGTACAACTCTAATGTAGTGAAATGTTGGAATTGTTTTGATGCTAAGATGACCGTAGTCTAGGATGTAGCTGTTAGTTTTTCTGCATGGCCACTTAACGTTAATCATGGTTCAGAATGATACCAATGAAATAAGTTTAAATAGTTTCATATCGTTGTTTGGGTCTCCCCAGGTTTTATGTCTGTAGAACAAGAGCATCACTACTGCTTCATAATTAGTCTGAGCTAGATACCACATCCATACCATAAGCTTAAATGAAGGTTTGATATTAACTATACACTAGTGAACTTAGTATGCTTCTTGGACAAGATTCTAGAATGGATTATTAAAAGGATGTTTCCACAATACTACGAAATAGAAGTGTTATACACAAGGGACAAGGAATTTTTCAATTATGCCAAATTTTTGGTAGGATGATGGCTATAGCATGGATATTTTCTCACGATAGCTTTGTCACCAAGATAAATGGGGTAGAATGTCAATAAATCGGTTTGGTTTACAAATATTTCTGTAACTGTAGCCAAATACCAATAACTTGTGTCACTGGTAATTTAGAGGACTCTAGGAGTGGGCCTAAGCCCTTCAGTCCCTTTAACTATCTCCTAACCAGTGGGATGAGAGTGTAGAAAGCATGCTGGGAAATTCTGAAAATAATCAGCTTCTACAGACAAGATTCAAAGGAGGTTGTTCCTTCTTTCCTATACTGAAATAAAATTTATCTTCTTGGAACGAGAAGGATGGACCTATAGCAAGGATCAAAACCATCTGCATTAACTCAAGAATATGGGAAGTATGGCTTAGGAGTATCGTGTTTGAAAATTGAAGAGTTTCAGTTCAACTAGCAGCAGTCTAAGTGAACAAATGTCAGACTAGTTACAATAAGCTGAGACAGCAGTACAAAGGAATATCATACCCCAAATCAGGAGAGTAGGATTTTGTCATATTCTCAGCAAGGCTGACACCACCCAGAACAGTGTTCATTTTGGGAGTCACACTTTAAAGATGACCTTTGGCAAATGGGAGTATTTTTTGAAGAGAAAACAAGATTGTGAGTTTAGTTCAGTTCAATTTACACTGATTCAGTGCTTACTATGGATCAGGTATTTTGTTAAACATTGTTAATACAAAACTGAGACATGGGCTCTGTACTTGAGCTTGTGGTCCAGTAGAGGGAGCCAGGCTGCTTAACACAGCTGTAAGCGTATATACGCTCTGCACAATGGGCTTCTGAAGCAGAGTACAATTTAACTCAGATTGTCAGAGGCCAGGGAACGCTTTCTTGAGAACATGACACCTAAAAGGAGACTGGAAGCGTAAGCAGGATTTAGCCAAGAAAGGCAAGAAAGGCTGGGAAGGAAGCTTGCCCACAAGAAACAAAAAGGTTTACTGCAAGGAAGCTACAATACGTAGTTTTGAATATTTGAATGTGTGATGAGAGGAATTAAATGTTTTTTGTGGCTCCTGAGGAAAGATGACAAATGGAAGCAAATTTCAGTTCAGTATATGAAAATTCATTTATTTAGTGAAACCTTATGGTAAAGTACCCCAACATAATGCAGATTTGATGAACTGACTTGGTTGTCTCGTAGTAGGTTCACGTGGTCACTTCGTTAACCCACAATGACATGATTCTACCTTTTTTACAGGATTGTTTTGGATCCCACTGACACACTAAAACACTGCTATAATGCTGTAACAATTAGAGTGGTCCAAAGGAGAGGCTGCACTGGGGAATGGGAAACTTGATCACAGTGTATTTCCAAGTAGACGCTGGATGATAATTTGTTAGGAATGCTATGGAAAGGATTATTAAATTTAGGTTGGAGATGCCCTCCAAGGTACCTTCCACCTCTGAGATCCTGCAGCCCTCAAAAGAAACTCTATTTGATAGTTTCGTGAATGAAGGCAGTAGGTGACAATGAACAAATTCATAAATTAGGGTTTTATTTATATTACATAAAGCTTATGTTTCTTATTAAATCTGGCAGAACTCATCAATTGATAGGAAATGTAACAGTATTCAAATGTACTTTCTTTTACTTATGGTTACAAATACCCTTAAATCAAAGCAAAGCTTCAAACTTACAACTTGTTTCCAGTCCAGGCTAGTATTCTAAGTCTACAAGTCTGGCTCCCTCCCTCTACCAATTATTCACTGTAACCATCAAGGGAAACTGAATACACTGCTCCTGGAAACTGAGAAGAGCGCTAGTAACATATATAAAACATTCAAACTTTTCAGCAGCAGATAATGCAGATGAAAGCAGAAGCACAACAAGACTGCTATTCACTGTACATGGAAAATGTGCCACCTGGGAGCCAGGGTCTTCCAGGAGAGAGATCGACTCTGGGCCCCCTCAGAGCAAGGATGCTAGCCTGCTGACTGTAATGGGCGGGTGCCTGTAACTGGGTGAAGAGAGGGACACTGCAGCTTACGGCTGCAGCAAGACATTCACACAAAGGAAATATAAAGTCAAAGGAAAATTCATAGCTTTATTATTGAATCCATGTGTTTACTGCTAGGGAATGTGCATCCACAAATATGTATGATATATTTCATTTTTACAAAAAAATTATACACATTGATGGATAAAAAAGGGTATGAAGACTATTGTCTGAGATTACAAGTACTTAAAATTTTCTTTTGACTAATTTGTCTTTTTTTCTGTAATGAATTACTTTTGTAATAACAGAAAGTCTTAAAAATTAGTCCCAGCGATAAAACTATAAACAGATTAGAAATTCATAGCAGCAAAATTTTCTTTCCTTCTCTGAGTCTTTGGAATTCAAAGTTACTAATTACCTTTAATCAAATATTTTTGAGCCAAATATATCTAAAAAAGAAGATGCATATATGTATTCCATTTTAAAATGCTGACCAAAAAAAACCAAATACCAAAATACCCTGAGATAAGGTGGCATTAAAAAATTGAAAGTATTTATTAGGACAGAAAAGGAAAACTTTACCATAATTACTATTATTATAATTATAAAGTAAATGAACACACACTTCAATTGTGTAATAGCAGTGATTTGTCATTAAGGTCTTAGTTCAATAATGCATTTAATCTAAGAAACTTTGGAAAGACAATGTCATAAGATTGTCTTAAAACATTATGTGTTAGGTGATCATTAACATTTTGGATAAAGAAAAAGATGGCAGAATCCTTTACTCTTTCCACATCGTTATACTAGTCTCATACATGTTACCTATCAAATTTTAATTTGGAAGTTGGCTCACTTATCAATGTCAAATTCTGTTTTATTGCACAATGTCCAGTTTGGCAATTTTTAACTGACTGTAAAACTAACAAAAGCAAAAATCCTTAGGAAAAATGTATTTTTCTTTTCAAGAAAAAGTTAGGTCTAAGCAGCTGACGGAGTTCTGTTCAAACCTATTCTACTGAAGGAACCGGTCAAAACATTTTCACCTTTAAAAAAATTTGAACGCAACAAAAAATTTGTCATTTTTGTTCTACTCAGTTCTTTCTGAAAAAGTTTATTAAAATTATTAAGGAAATAAAATGTGGAATGATTGAAGAAAATACTTTCAACAAGAACAAACATTAACCTTGGCTAATGCCACCAGGGAAAGGCATAGGGTATCCCCCACATACTGTTGATAAAAGGGATAGGAACCCGTTGGTGTTTGACAGTGGTAAGTCTCACATCAAAACTGAAGAGTAGGCTCCATGGGCTGTCCAGAGTCTGTCTGCAGGCAGTGTACTCATCAGCACAGGGATCCCTCTGACGTTCTTCCACACGCTCCAACCCTTCTGCCATCAAACATCGGTGAGATTCTGCAACTCTTAGGGGAATAGCCAACTCACAAAATCCGAAACTGGGCATTGACATTAACAGTTTACTGATGTTTCCCCTGCAAATTTCACATTTTCCAATAATAAAAATTTGCATAGAAGTTGGAATTTGAGAGGCTAACTGTATGTTTTTACCTGAAATCTTGTAATTACAGTATTTTCATGAAAACAGTTGTCTAGTAACATAAATTGCTTCTGCATCAGTTCCACAAACAAGACAAGGACCTAAAACATCCAAACTGTTCACAGACAGAGTCATGTTGGGAAGCAAGCTTGTGATTTCAATACGGTCTCTTGCAGGATCAGTGCTGAGCCAGGAGCTTATGACAGACTGGTGAATGTTAGCCTGGTTACTGATGCTGTGAGACAGAAAAGTACTTCTTCCTCCTGGGAGAAAAGAGAAGGGAAGAGAAGCTTTCAACATTAATTTTATACTAGTAAACCTCCAAAATTCTGATATTTTAAAAAGGTGATGATCTAAACTTGTTTAATTCTCAGAATAACAGACTGATAATTCCATTATTACACATCACCATTTTTGACCAAAGACTTATTCAGTGATATGAAATACTCAAATTTCCATGGGATAATATGGATAACAAATCTGAAGTCTTCAGGCAAAGCATAAGATTTTGACCCTGTCTTTCCATTCATTCTTTAAATGGAAAGTCGCAAAAAGATAGCAAAATGGCCAAAAGACAAGTAGAATAAAGAAGGAAAAAAGAAGCCAAAAAATGTAGATAATAGAAATATAAGCTCTTAGGTAATAAAAAAATGAAGTGATCATGAGAAAATTTCTGGACCTATTTCTAGATGAATATTTCTAAGAAAGATATTTCTAAAAATATAATCAACTTGCTTCAGATCTCCTTTTATTCTTACCTTTTATTTTAGATAAATGTTCTTAAAAGTAGAATTTTAGAACACTACCCAGCTTATATACTTTTCTCTCTAACAGTGCTCTGCATTCAATATATAATTAAGTGAAGCACAAGCAGTACATTTCAGTTTAAGCCATTATTTGCGATTTTCCTTCCTCGCAACCTTCTGCCAGATCAAATAAGGACAGATTTCATTTATTCAGTAAATGGCTGAGGACCGACTATGTGCCAGGCTCTGAGCTAAGTGCCGACCCTGATATCTTGAAGCTTAAAGATTACTCGGTTTAGGGGGTCAGCCCTGTGGCGTAGCGGTTAAGTTTGTGCATTCTGCTTCGGCGACCTGGGGTTCGCCAGTTCAGATCCTGAGTGCGGACCTACACACCGCTCATAAAGCCATGTTGAGGCTGCGTCCCACATACAGCAACTAGAAGGATGTGCAACTATGACATACAACTATCTACTGGGGCTTTGGGGAGAAAAAAGGAGGAAGATTGGCAACAGATGTTGCCAGGGGCAATCTTCCTCAAAAAAAAAAAAAAAAAAAACGATTACTGGGTTTAAATCTTGCAGATTCTTCAAAGCCCAGCTCAACTGCCTTCTCTAAGAAGCCTTTGAAGATGACTCCAGTTCATGCTTCTCTCTTCTGTCCTGGAACGCTCAGCACTTGTATGTACCACTGATTTATAACCTTGTAACATTTCCTTTGTCAGGATTTAACTTTCCATGCCCTTTTCTCCATAACTAAATTAAGTATATCTTAAGAGCAGGTTGCAGTTTTTATTTACCTTTTCACAGTGTCTAATACTATGCCTTGCAATACTAGATGCAGAATATAGTAAATGGCTTTATTTCCAGTCTAACCCAGGTTCTTCAAACAGCAAAATTTCAAATGTAAGATAGTGGGGGTAGGGGAGGAAGGAAATAAAAACCAAGTATTTAATTAATCCTTAGATAAAATTGTTAGTTTCTCCATGAATGAAGTTAGCTTGGACATGCTAAATGCTTGACACATTCCACACTCCACAATTTTTCTGGAGAAGGTTTAGATTTTTTCCTTAGTTTTTCGTTTATCTTTTACTGCCCCTATGTTTTATATTACTCTGGAATACTGTGACAATTAACATTATTAGAACCACTGTGCTAACTCCCCTCCCTGGTCTCCCTGCTTCCACTTTTACCATCCCTCTCCCCGTAGTCCATTTTCCATACAGCAGCCAGAGAGTGATTCTTTGGAAACATAAGGCAGATCATGACCCTCCCCTGCTCAGAATTCTCCAATGGCTTTCTGTCACACTTAGAATTAAGTCTAAAGTCCTCATCATGGTCCACCGAGTCCTGTTCCTCAGCTACCTCCCCTCATCTCCTCCCACTCCCTGATGCTGCTCGTTCAACTGCAGCCATATCGCCCTCCCAGCTGTTCTCTGCCTGTCTCAGGCCCTTGGTACCTGCTGTCTCCTCTGCCTGGAAGGCTTTCATGTGACTCACACCTCCACTTCTCTCAGGTCTCCGCTCAAACGACATTTCCGCCAAGCGGCCTCTCCTGATGCTAGAGCAGCCCCTGCCCCCTTCATTCTTTATCTACCTACTCTGTTCCTCATAGTCATCCGTGTATTTGGTCCAGTTCTTTTCCTTTTGCTCAGTCCCCCTTCCCACTTTTCTGTGCTCTACTACGTACTGTGGGGACAAACTCCATCCTCCGGGCTCCCTTGCCATTTGTCTTCCAGGCAGCCCCTGCCAATGGGAGGCACTACTGGGGGTGAGTGGAGGGCAGATGAGGGTAGAAGCCCCAGGCTTCTGGCAATGACACCACTGCAAGAATTCCAGCCCTGGCTGAGGTGGCACCTTTTCTGCTGATCCAGAACCACCCCTGACAGCACTTCCAACCGTGCAGCCGCAGACGTATATAAACAGTTTCTGCTTTCTGGGCATACTTTTTCTTCCTATTTGCTCTTCCAGCATCCCTCGTGCTCCCTTCATTCTTCTAGCCCTTCTAACACATGTGAAACCAATTCCTTCTAAATCTAGGGCAGTTTCTGTTTTTCTGATTTGACTTTTACTGAAACATTATCTATTTATTTACTGCCTGCTGGAATATGTGCTCCCTGTGTGTACAGACTTTTGTTCTGTTCACTGTTGTAGGCTCCAGCACCCAGAAGAGTGCCTAGCACGTGGTGGGCATCTGATAAACATTTGCTGCATGAATGAACAAAAGAACTTTGGAACCACAGACAAACTCAAAAACAGTAAGTTTGGAAAATGCCAAAAGCAAAACCAAAAATACCCCTTGATTGTAAGTGTATAGTTTCTGGCTGACTTTTACTTATCTCTATCTCTAATCAAGAGCCAGAGCCCTTTAGTCTGAGGAAAAACCAATACCTAATACATGAAAGATCAACTTTTGTCTTGCCATTCACCCTTGGTAATGTAATATAAGAGAGTTGTGAATGCCTGTCCTATGGCATGAGTGCCCAGGACAATGCACTCACAAACAAGCCCTCTGGCTATCTGAAGTTAGCCGGCTTACAGCATTTCTAGTCATCGGCAGTACAGCAGTAAGTAGCTGACAGTCAGATTTCAAACCCTATGATACTAGAATTTACCCTAAAGTAGGAGAATGGAAACATTTTGCCATTCTTTAATCTTAAAAATCTAAGAATTTCTAATTTGGTATTTAAAGTACAATAAAATACACACAAGAATCTTCATTAAAATTTTTTACCTTGGTGAAACAGTGATGATTTTTCAGGTACATCTGTGGAGGCATCCCAGTGCCAGAGGGATCCATCTTCAGAACAAGTAAAAAGATGATCGGGATTGGATGGGTGGAAATGAACTTCCCACACTACAAGATAAAAACCAAGAAGCTTATTCCTGTGCAGATTAGTTGAACAAACATTAAAACTCTGTCTCTAGGCATCGTCTTCCATTAACTTCCATCATACACCTTCGAACTTCATGTCTGTGATAAAAATCAAAGGCTTCAGAATTAAAGAAAAAACATAATATAACTCTCCAAATGGCTGTAACATGTAGATAGGATAAAGAAGCAAAGTAAATCTATTTGTGTATTGGGCCAGCAAATGAATGAAAATAAACGCTAATCATTTGACCTACTATTTTTTTTTTTTTTTTTTTAAAGCTTCCTTTATTTCTTTCTTTTTTTTTTTTTGGGGAGATCAGCCCTGAGCTAACATCCGCCAATCCTCCTCTTTTTTTTGCTGAGGAAGACG